TTCAAAACAGCTGATGGTTTTCTCCTCTGTGTCCAATAAAAGGTGCTATCGGCAAAATAACAAACCATCCAATTAAAGCGAAGCCAGGCTTCTCCACCTGGTCCTTCCAACGGAGAGGTCTTCCTCTCCCTCTGCTTCATACAGCTCATCTTTTCTTCGAATGCTATATTCGGCGTGGCTAACGCACAAAGGACGATAAATCATCAGACGTTGTCATCGTCTATGCCTCCGCATCAAATATCAGGACGGGAATAATGAGTGACTTGTAGAGTTTAGTTTTTGTTCGTCGAGAGGGGACGTTACTTCTCAATTGCCTACTTAATCAGAAGTAGCAGCTGTTGGCCTATGATTTCGAGACTGACGATGTTGTTCTTGTTGATGCTGGTTCCCAGATAGAGGAAATTTTCCACGACTTTAATGATATGACTCTAAACAGCGAGTGCGACAACTTGGTTTGATAACGAGAGATATTTCGTCTTGCCCTCTTTCACCCCCGACCCATTTACTTTGCTGCTTTTTCTAGCCTGAAAGCAGAACTAACGGCGCTGTTGATAAGGCCAATGATATCAATATCATCGGTATACGACAGCAGATGTACACTCTTATAGAAGACTGTACGTTCCCGGCCAGAATTATTTTCTCTAGAAGTAGGTTGAAAAAATCACACAAGAGCGTCGCCTTGCCTGAAACCTCGTTTGGTATCGAACGGCTCGAAGAGGTCCTTCTCGATCCTGACGGAGCTTTTGGTGTTGCTCAACGTCAGCTTGCAAAGCTCTATTCATTTTAAGGGGATACCAAATTCAGACATCGTGGCATAAAGGCAGCCATTTCGTGCTGTCATAAGTAGCTTTGAAATTGACGAAGAGGTGGTGAATGTCGATTCTCTTTTCACGGGTCTTTCCCAAGATTTCTTGCATGGTGAATACCTGGTCGGCTGTTGATTTTCCAGGTCTAAAGCCACTCTTATAAGGTCTAACTAGTTTGTTGACGGTGGGATTTAATCTTTCACACAATACGCTTGATAGAACCTTTGCGCGATGGTGAGGGGATTTTCCCACGGTGGTTGGTAATCTATCGGCCTCCGTTCTTTATTATTCTTCAGACGAGTAATTGCTATTCGAAATTCTTCATGGTCGGGCATTGGAACGTCTGCTCCATCGTCGTAAATTGGGGAATCCGGGATGTTTTCATTTCAAAAGGCTGGAGATGTGTTCCCTCTATAATTCTAGTATGCTCTGGGCATCGACTACTAGTCCACCTCCTTGGGTTGTACAAGAGCACGCTCCGGTCGTGGAACCTTTTGTTCGTCTCCACATTTTTTGATAGAATTCTTAAACATTACCCCTATTGACAAACTTGTCGAGCTCTTCATTTTCAAGCATTTCAGCTTCTCTTTTCTTCTGTCTGCAAATGCGTCTCGTTTCGCTCTTCAACTCTCGGTTTCTATCCTATCCCGCACGTGTCAATCGTAACGTTGCGAAGTAGGCAGTCGTTTTTCTCTCCGCTGCGACTTGGCACTCCTCTTCGTACCAGCTGTTCTTTTGAATTTTCTGAAAACCAATGGCTTCCGTTGCAGCTGTACTTAAGGAGCCGTCCCACAGTTTCCTTGTACCGAGTTGTTGACAAGTGCTCCCAGAGAGCAGGAGTGAAATTATTCGGCTATCTGTTGTGATTGCAGCTTCTCGACGTCTAACGTGCGTTTTTTGATGCACAGAGGCAGTTGGGAATCTTGACAGCAACATGATAGTGGTCCGCGTCGATGTTAGGTCCTCGGAGCGTACGCACATCTGAAGAACAAGAAACGTGTCTTCCGTCTATCACAACATGATCGGTCTGGTTGGTGATTCTTCGATCCTGAAACAGCCAGGTAGATTGAAAAATTTTCCTATTCTGGAATGTAGTACTACAGATAACTATATTTCGGACCCCGGTGAAGTCGATCAACCGTAACCCATTTGGGGTGTTTCCTCATGGCGGCCTATCGACCGAAAAAGCCTTAATGCAGTCAAAGTCGTCAAGCACGAGTTTAACATCGTGGAGGGGCAGCTCGCATAGGTGAATTCCAAGCGCTCATAGAAGGCAAGCTTGGTCACATCGTCCTTCTATTCTATCGGGTAGTGGGCGCAGATCAGCGATATGCTAAGAACTTCACTTTGATAAGGATTATGTCTAGACGTTCATCCACGGGGGTTATTGACAGTACTCGGCGTCGGAGTTTCTCTCCCACCACGAATCAAGCTCCGAATTCGCGCTCCTTTATATAGCCACTATAGTAAAGAATTCAAGAATTCAGTTCGCTAATTGACTACCTCATCTTGATTCAAAACGCTATCAATCGATGTATATGTTGTAGCTTCTATTGGCAGTTTTTCTTGAATGGCAAAATTGATTTCGTTGACGTGTACATTTTTCGGTGCCAATATTGCGCATTCACTTAAATAATCGTGGCGTTAATAGTGTTGAACAATATTCGGAAATACATTTTCAATCAATTCTTCTTTCGATTGTAAAAGTGTACAAAAGTTGTTCGGCAATGTGATCAATCCGGTATCATCGATTGGTATTTTGCCTTCGCCAATGTCCAACAACTGCTTCGAAAACGCCGCTGCGGATCGACCATTTGCAATTGGACTCGCATGTTGATGGTAAGAGTCAGCCTTTGAACATGTCTTCACAAAACTGACGATTTTAAACATGCGTTTATTTCGCCGGCAGGAGTTGATCGAGGAATGACTGGCAAAGTTTGCCGAAAATCGCCGGATAATAAGACTAATGCTCCGTTAAAAAGTTGTTGCTTTTGGCGTAAATCTTGCATTGTTCTATTGAATGCTTCTAATGACTTTTTGTTAGCCGTTGGGCACTCATCCCATAGAACTATTTCATCTCCTCGCAAAACTTTTGCCATTGCTGAATTCCTCGATATGTTGCACGTTGGTGTTTCAACGACTTGGATGTTCCACGGTAATTTCAACGCAGAATGTGCTGGTCGGCCGCCATCAAGTAGAGTAGCAGCAATTCCTGACGAAGCAATTGCCAGCGCAATTTTCTGCTGTGACCGTATAATAGCAAGAATCAAAGAGATCAGAAACGTTTTCCCTGTACCACCGGGCGAATCCAGAAAGTAGAATCCACCGGCGTTATTGTCAACCGCTCGTATAATCTTATAATAAGTATTTTTCTGCTGAATATTCAATTTGGTAATGTTAGCTTGTATGAAAGCACGCATTTCATTGCAATCGTATTGTTGTTCACTTTTAAGCTCATGGTCAAGCATATCAATCGCCAAGTTGCGCTAATGCCTTATTCGCAATTGTAAGGCACAGATCTTCGACCAATGTCAAAGCATCATTATACATTTGTAATGTATATAGCAAGTCTGCGTCCGATGCTCGATTACGCGCCAAAATTAATAAGTCCTCGGTCATGAAGGCTTTGTACTTATTCCACAGTTCTTGCATATTTGACGGAAGGCATGTAGATATTATTATGGCGAACAGTACGCGTTTTTGTTTTGGATGAGATGTGAGGCGTCATGAAGAGCGGTGTCCCAATGCATATCAGCTTCTAACAAATGCAATCGCTGACATGCTTCACGATACGTCGCACACAACTGACCGTCAACAGTTTTCAAATCTTCAAATGATCTTGGTCCCCGCACGTTGACCTTTTTCGAGATGAACTGCCACATGAAGAACAACGGGATGCCGCTCGTGTATTGGGAACGATAAAATGCGTCATATGCTGCTTTATATAACGGCACATTTGGAATTGCTGAATTTCATCGATTCTCTGATAATCAGCCACTCCAAAAACTGCCATATCACTGCCCTTATTTACGTATTTGCAGATGTATTTCATCGATTTGACATAGTTGCAATATTCTACATTGATGTGCGCTTCGAAAATTTTTGACAACAACTTTTATGACCGTTGAATTACCGCCACTTCAGCGGATCGCCGTTATAATGGATATACGTCATTTCCAGTGATTGTATCATCAACTAAAGCTCTAGGTATGCATAGTGACGTTGGATTAATACCGCCGCAAGGGCCGTGGATCATGTTTTTTGTTAGAACGTCGAACAATTGTGGGTCGATTGCTTCATCTGGAATTTCCGATGAGATGACTTTATCAATTTGATCTGGTCGTATTTTGCGAACTAACCAAATGAAGATGTGTGCATGCGGTAATCCTCTTGTCTGCCATTCGATCGAGTACATCCAGCATCGAACTTCTCCAAAAACACGAAGTTTCACAATTAAATCCATCATTGCTTTTTGCTTTTCCCTGAATACACGTGCTGTTAAGTTGTGACGATCAGTTGTTGATTGACCGGGGAACAAATGACATTTGATGTCATTCCACTTGGGATTGCACGTGAACGTTATGAACAGATCCGGTCTGCCGTAATGGCGCACATACGACATCGCATCTTGCGCATACTCGTGCATATGGCGCGGACTGCCGGTGTATGTGGCTGGCATTATTGTCAGACGTCCAATACTATTCACATTTGCATCATTCATTACGGCATCTCTCAAATGGATGTACTCTTCAGAACGCAATTTCGCTTGGTTGAATCGAATAAAGTTGACACGTTCGGTCTCGATCTTCGCATACATGCCAACCAAATACTGATGGAGAAGCTTGCGACATTTCAGGATGTAGTTGTCTTCTTGCGGACGAATCATTATTCTGCACGAATAGAAGTTCATCGCACTGAGTTTTTTCGGTGTTTCTTGGCCTATGAATGAACAATACACAAAATTTTGAATCGTAAGTAACATTTCTTCTCAGAAATTGTACTTTTCTACCAGTAGTTGGATTTATCAATCGCATATTGATGTGACAGCCCTCATCACCTCTCCAGAATTATGTCGGATACTGTAATGCATCATAACTACGGTGTAGCTCGGAAACACGCTGAAGTTGTTTGTTTCTACGGTGCAGTACAATATCTCGCGATTCAAACTGTTCGCCAACAATAACGATTGCCACGTCATCGGTTGTTGGTGCGTTGAATCGTCTGGAATGCTGCCCCATTGCCGATGAAATATATTTGCAAAAATTGATAGTCGGCATCGGCAAATGGTATGAGCGAGCCTGCTCGATGGTATATTTGTCCCTGAATCTGTAGAATAAAAATGTCAAATTTTTCACTGGAAATTCCATGCAAAGTAATCACCTTGAACGTCGGCATAAATGGATATCTAATGATATTTGTGGCACCAAAAGCAGTCATTTGAAAGCGTGAATTGTGTGCTTGTATGTTCTGCAAGAAATGCTTAGACGTCGGCGATTCTCCAGTGAGTAAGGAATATAATGGTTCTGGTGGCGGTTCCAATGCAGGCAGTTTCACTTTGCCACTGGAGCAGCACATGCCAGCTGTTCCTCCTCGAAACTTCGCTGCATTGCAATGCGTACAAATAACATCCATTGCTCCAATGGCACCATGCAGGCTGTAGTCGCAGTCAGGATCGTAGTGAAAGCCAACATGTTCCATCGTGCTTTTAAACTTTTTAAACAAACTGGCTTAGTTGCTGACTACTCAAAATATTCTAAACTGCGTCGACAATTTGCTAAACTTAATAAAATAGATAGATAGATAGCTTCCGGCTTGGGATTTATTGAAGCTTCGATTTAGGTCTTGTTGAACGTTTTTAGTTCTGACTACTTTTTTGTCTACCCTTTCCGCAATTTCGTATTGGGTAGTTAAGAAATCTGTTGCCACGTTGGGCATTTTCTTCTTGATGAGAGCGATTGCTCCCACAGAAGTAATGATTTTTCTGGTAATGCGGCGGTACATATGTTTACCAGAATAGGATCCCAATTGTGAGTGGGAATATTTTGTGTCGATAGAACCGACAAACAATTTGACACAGTGGATTCTAGTTTGATNCTAGACGCTATGAAAGATCGTTGTGATCCTTGGTCTATTAGGGCTCTTAATTTGAACAGTTCTCCTCGATGTTCGATGGAGACAACTGCTGTGGGTAGTAGTACTCTACTATRGTTTTCGCTGTGTAGTGTTTGAGATTTTAATGCCTTCGAACAGCATGGTGTCTCTTGGCAAATTTCTGGAGTTTTTGTTTCGGGAGTTGCTGTTGCAACACAACCCGTGGCTTTTTTTGAAAAAGCGCTACCTTGATATGTGTTGGGACAGTTATTGACATATAACATAGAATGATGCCTTTTGTGGCAATATACGCAATTAAATTTGCTTTCGCAAGTATTAAGATTGTGTGAGTGGGACAAGCAGTTTGTACAGAGTCTTTTTGACCTGACAAAGTTGTTCCTTTCATTCACATTCAATTTTTTAAATTTTTCGCAAGCTTTTAGCTTATGCCCTCCTGTACATAGTTCGCAAGACGTGAATTTATTTTGTTCAGATGTGAACGCTTGTGTTTTGAAAAAGCTTCTGTTTAAATTATTGTTGCTTCCGGCTGGGGGTCTATTGAAGCTTCGATTTAGGCCTTGTTGAACGTTTTTAGTTCTGACTCCTTTTTCGTCTACCCTTTCCGCAATTTCGTATTGGGTAGTTAAGAAATCTTTCATCTGCTGCCACGTTGGGCATTTTCTTCTTGATGAGAGCGATTGCTCCAACAAAAGTAACGATTTTTCTGGTAATGGGGCATTACATATGTTTACCAGAATAGGATCCCAATTGTGAGTGGGAATATTTTGTTTCGATAGAACCGACAAACAATTTGACACAGTGGATTCTAATTTAATGAATTCTTCACTGGTTTCTCTTTGAATTTTAGGCAAGTTCATAAGTATCGTTACTTGCTTGTCAACTAATATTCTCTCATTTTCATATCTTTGTCTTAAAGCTTCCCAAGCTAAATTAAAATTATCGTCATTCAATGCGAACCGCTTGACTATTACGCCTGCTTGAAATTTAGTTTTGTATCGGAGGTGATACAATTTTTGC